TGTTTCCGAGAATATATCCTAAATAAAGTAAAAAAAATTGAATAATCAAGCGATAGTCTTAAAACTTTCGAAATATTATATCTCCCCATTGTCAGCTTACTTTATATTATGCACCAATAAATAAATTTACTCACATTATTAAAATTGTTACTATAACTATAGACGTACTGGATTATCTTAGGTGCGTGATGATTGAAACTTAAGCAAGTTGTATATGACTGATATGATTTGACGTCCAAACAGTCCGAAAATCCAGAAAGCAATATCTAAAATTAAAAAAAAATATTTAACTTTTTGTCCACACTTGTTAAATATTCTCACGGCACTAATGTGGCACGGATCACGAACAAAGCCAAAAGGACGCTGCAAAAAATTTAATTTTTTCAAATGCAAAAAAAACCACTTAATTAAAACCAAAACTTACTTAATTGAACAGCAAATGGAACCAAAAAAGTTTATGAATATGATGTGATGTCCAAACGGTCCGAAAATCCAGTAAAATATCTAAATTTGGAAAGAAATATTTAACTTTTCGTCCACACTTGTTCAATATTCTCACGGCACTAATGTGGCACGGATCACGAACAACGCCAAAAGGACGCTGCAAAAAATTTAATTTTTTCAAATGCAAAAAAAACCACTTAATTAAAACCAAAACTTACTTAATTGAACAGCAAATGGAACCAAAAAAGTTTAAAAATATGGTTTGACGTCCAAACGGTCCGAAATTTTAATGGCTGAATTGGAAATGTTGTTTTTTAAAAGCACTTATATTTTTTCAATTAATTGGCACTTTATTTTCGTGTCAAAAAATAATAAAAAAGTTCATTCCGGCATGAACTTGTCACAATTTTTAAAACACGCTGGTGCCATGCCAAAATCATGCCAGCGCGGTGTTGGATTGAATCCGCAGCACAAATTTGATTTGGTGCTTGGCGTGCTCCATATTGACACCGCTTTTCGGCGCACTGTGCTTTCCGGGAATTGCTTATCTTCAGAGCTATAGATCTTAATTGATCTGTAAAATCCAAAAGTAAGTAGATTATCAAAATAGAACTGCGAACTCAAACCAAAAAAACCTCAAAAAGTCAAAACAAATCAATTCAACTACCAATTTAACATGAGCCTAATGACCAGTAACTGAAAACAAATCGTTAAATTCCTTTGGGCTCAATTTATAAATCACAAAATACATTGAACACAACATTACCGGATAAGTAATATATCAACGCAGGAAAACACAGCAAAGTCTATATTCACATACATATCAACTAAATTAAACATTTTCCAAAATAAACATATAGTTAACAATAAACAGGGAGCAAATTTGTATAAAACTAGACCAAACATGATAGAATAAACACGATGCTTGATTACCATAATGATTACTTCCATAATATAAAATAAAAACAAATATTTCTCATTTCAGCGACTACAATTAATAAATTCATAACTCAAATATACCTTAAAGCTTTATTCCATTCCTCTATTCATAAATGAGTATATCCATTACGTAATATTATCAGAGTTTCCATTTCATTTATTGTTTAAAAATAATTAATAATTTAAAGATTACCATAACTTTGCAGCTTATAGTAAAGCTTATATCATGTAAACAAACTAAGAACTTGAAGCTAGTCAGTCAAGTAAAAGTCAAACTGAACATTACCGCAAGTTTATGTTTGTGTGGAAGTTTTCTTTAATCAATAAGAACTTGTTTGAAAATTAAATTTAATGTAATTATTTCATGGAAATTGATTTTGTTGAGGAATTTTCAACTATCGATTTCCCTTGAGGAAGTTTAGATTTGCGAATCGCACAAACTGAATTATGAATTATAACAGCGAGAAAACATTTAAATCTATCTGTTCATTACTCAAGACTAGAGTAGAAATAGAACTAGTCCAATACCACACAAAACAATCTAGTCTAGAACTAGTCTAGATCAAATCTAGTCTAAACCAGACAAAATCTTTCGCTAGACTAGATCAGATCTGGTCCAATACTAGATCATAACTAGTCTAAAACCAGATAAAATCTAGTTCAAGAACAGATCAGACTAGATGAGACCTGGTTCAAAATTGCAAAGAGCTCCCTTTTGTCGTGATCTCATTGAAGTATGTTAACTTAAAGCTGATGAAGAAGCTAGCTTTCAATTGTGTATGCAAATGATAGGATGGAATTAGCTCACAGGAATTGATAGTAATGCCTTGTTAATTGCTTGACTAGGATACCAATCAGCTTAATTTGTTTAATAAGAAAGAACTAATCATTTATTGTCAATCATAAGATCGTTCTATCATGAATCCATCAGATTAACCCTACAACAATCTGACAAAATCACCACAACAACCACACGACATACATAAAACTATCCTCAGGCCCTTGAATTTCTAGACACATTTAAAATGCGAAAGAGATTCATAACAGAAAAAAAATGCTCATGCTAAAGTTTTCGCTTCAATAAAGAACGTAGAAGAGTTTATTTTTTTGCTTGCTGAGCAAACAACTCAAGCAGGTAAAAAAGAAATCGCTGAATTTTTTTTTCGCATGCAACGATTAAATACATTCAGCACAGAGATTCTCTCTCATCCTATAACTTCACCTGTATAAGCAAACTTTTTAATGATTTAATCATGACATGCCTGCAATTTTTTTCTCTACTTTTCATAGCTTTATATATCGCATAATGCTTCCGTCGACATAATTATTATTTCAGAATTATTTTTTTCGTCCTTTCCAGATGGATTTTTAAAGGTTTATGGATGAATTGGGGGATTTAAAGAGTCAGCAAATTGTGAGAAGCAAAGAATTCAATCAAAAGCTATTGATTGGATATAAATCTAGGCATCCTTAATGAATCCAAAAAAATCTAATTTAATCACATCCACAACAACAAAATTCGCCCCAAAACTACCCAATTGAGACTCAACAACTAATAATTTTCGCATGAAATATCATTAATTTCTACTTCTTACTTAACTTGGTTGTTAAATGCCAACAATAAAAGCTTAATTTGTTTAAATACAGACATTTGTACAAAAAGCCTCCCTCCTTTATTGCTTCCTGTATTGCAGATGTTTTTTGTGGTTTAAAGCCAAACAAATGGAAGCAAACTCGAGTGTTGAACTGAAAATTCTCTCTTTTTGTGCTTATAAATTTTAATAAAAAAAGGCTTTTCGAAGCTGTTTTTTGGGAGCAGACAGTGTGGCGTGTAAGATGAGAACAAATTGTGAGATTACATGGTAATTTAAAAGGACGTGCTGATTACGAATTTTTGAAAGGATTTCAACATTTATTTTGATGATAATGTGAATAGTTTTGATGATTTTGGGGGAAATGATCTGTTGCTGATTTTGTGTGTTATGAACTGGATTTAAGTGGTTTCTTTAACTATACACATTCATGGATATCACAAAGCATAAGAATCAAGATCCAATTCCTATCTCAACCAAGATCAAGATTTAAAGCTTAACCGCCAAGACTAGAAATCGCATGAAGCATACATCCACAAATTCATTCATCCAACCGCCTGTATTATGTCTTTAACCGCAATTAATTTGTCAACTAAGGCGCTATTTCTCACACAATGATAATGCTAAAGCTTTTAGCCGGAAAGTTCGGATAAAAAATTTATATATTCAACACTTTCAAAGTCCCACAAGAGCAATGAGCGTGTATATGTACGTCGGCGGAAATGAAATAACAGGAAAAGAGCAGGCAGAAATTATTCGGTATGCAGCAAACAAAAATTCACTGTATTTTACTTGACATGACATGACCTTTATGAAATCACACTTTTTTCATCCTCGTCTCGCTCGTGTAATGTGATTCCTCGATCAAATAACGCTACTTTCGTCAGCAATCTTTTTTTGGAAGGCATTTGGTGAAATTTCATTTTGGCTTACTGGATGTTTGTTTAAATTGATAAACAGAGCCTTCGTGGTATTCGATATTTTGTTGTGATCATGAATTGCTTTAAATGCACGAAAACAAGTTTAAAGCTGTGAGATTGATTATACTTTATTTTTGTGTATTGAGTGATTAAAACCCGTTAAAATCATATTTGAATATGGGATGCAACTTCATGTTGGTCGCTTAAATTTTGCTATAAAATGATTTGAATTTCAAAAATCCGTTGATATTCAAATCTAAAATAAATCATTTGTATTCAAAACTCAAAAGACAGTTAATTGTTGTCAGCTCTTTGCTTAGAACAAAAGCTCTTCAATCACAACTACCCAAATGTCTTTCAAACCACATTCACGACTGTTGATTCCGTTAAATTTCCCTCAATATTTCTCGTACGTGTTTATAATGTCAACGAAGAGGAGAAAAATATAAAAGATGAAATTTATATATTCACATGACATTCCATAAATCAACAAACCCATTAAATTTCGCTGGTAGAAAGCTCTTATCGACACTTGGAATTATATTCAGAAAATCTATTACATCGCAATGGATGGATTGATTCTGAGAATTTTATAAATCTTTCAATTTTGAGGGGATTGAAAGTTTTGTGAAGCTTGTATAGACTTAATTAATAACAGTTTCTGGAACTATGATTGCTCCAAGCATGTTAATTAATAAAATAATATCTCAAATGCTGGTAATGGCTTTGTAAGCATTTCTACTTAATCTGTGCTGATAAAAATTCAAGCTTTTAAAGGAAAATTGAAACTTTTATAATCGTTGCCAAGGCTTCATCTGCCAATTTCAAATTGTTTTTAAGTAATTTCTGCGTATCCGACTTTTTGCTGTCTAGACTAGCTTCACGAAATTGTTGATTATGGGAGCTAAGATGTCTTTATTTTAGATTGAAAATTGTTTGATGATTAAAGAAAAATTGAAATTGATTGAAAAATACGATTTAAGGTCATTTACATTTGATAGCAAGCTTTACGGCACTGCAAGATGCTCTAAAACAACATAAAGTCTCAAAAATATTAGCGACACTCTGCAAACCCCCAAAATTTCTCAATAAAATCACAAAAATGTTCCTTAAAAATTAAATACAAAATATTTTATATATTTATTATAATCCATATATCTATATGCTGAGTGTTGATTCTTCTTGTTTCTAATATAATCATAATTAATGTGTATAATTGTTTGATACAAATAATAATAATAATTGTACAAAAGAAAAGAAATCTTACAAATTAAATCCTTGTGTGTGCTCACTTACATGCTATAATTACAGCTATTGCCAGGAAAATTATAGAGAGAAATGCCGTTGAGATGAAAAAGAAAAAGTCAAGGGACATGACTGTGGCAAGAATAAGTTCAAAAGTTTAAAGGAGGAAATTTTCTTTCTCTTTTTTAAGGCAAGAGAGAAAAAAAAAAGTGTGGGGACATAAATTGAATAGTTAATGGAATTAAAATACATTGAGAAACGTTTCGTTCCTGAATCGTCTGTGAGGTCCTCACAACAAAGCTCTATCTCAAATGTAAAAGTTCTAGTCGTGCAGAAATAAGTTTCTTCTGTGCTGCACAAGCTTTTGCCATTCGCTATGACATGTAAAAATGGACTCGTTTGCAGGAGAAACGTTCTCAAAAAGAATGAAATGAAATTTTATATAAAGTTTGAGTATGAGCAGCAAAAAAATACACAAAAACAGAAAATGAAAAAGTTTTTTTTTTGTTTGAAACACAGAAAACACTTGAAAGAGTTCAGTCGTTCTTTTTTTTTGGTAGTAGTAGTTGTTGTTGTTGGTTGTTGGTTCCTCTCTATAAAAATTCCTTTCGTGCAATGCGAAAAAAATAGAAAACTTTTTGAGTCTATTCTGCTGGTGATGTTGGAGATGTGAATTCTTCTGGTACGGAATGACGATAAAATTGTAAAAATTATTCACACAAACACGTTTTTAATTTTACTTTGCTTCACCATTGAACGAGTTAGATTTAAAATCATAAATTAGATGCAGAAACTGAAATAACGTTGGTTATTTGGAGTTTTTAAGGATGTTTTGAGGTTTAAATAGTTAAAATGTTGTAAAATCCAATAATTTAATTGAAATTTTTAACAGCGAATCAAAGTTTGAATTTTAGCTGTCGATTAAATTTCGAATAATTTGACGGCAGAAAAATTTCAACTCGTCTAAAAGTCTCAAATCTGGTCTAAAATTTTAGAAAATGAATGACAGTTAAAATTTTGAAAGACATTTCTAGCATTTAAGGACTTTTGATAAACGTTTTGTGTCATTTATAGCTACAATAATTCTAAAAATATAAAAATCTAGTCTTTTAATTCAATAAATTAGCTCCAAAATTCCAATTTAATCCTCAAAAAACCATCCCTGAAAGAATCTCAACTTACATTCAATAAACCGACTAGCAGTTCCAACACACCAACTTCTGCATAGTTTTCCAATTTCTCCATTAAGTGAGCACGATGACATGGTAATTATATCAGAGAAAAATGTCACTAAAGCTTATAACAAATTTTCAATTTCAAGCTTTTTTTTTAAATTACATTTTCTACGAGAGCAAATTTTACGAAGCTTTGATGCTGTTCTAGTTGTTAATTTTCTTCCTTAATTAAACTAACATGGAAGTTAACGTTTTTTGTGAGATCATCGAGTTTAAATGCATCATAAATAGCAAACATGAGATCCAGGAAGTGTTTGTGAGCATTATGTTGTAAATTCATGAATTTAATTGTGTTGTTTAATTCTATATAAAGTTATATAACGTTCACTTATTTGTATATCCTTCATTTTCAAGGATAAAATTCAGTAGTAAATAATATGTAAATTAACTCAAAAATTGGTCCGATGAAGAAAATTAATTGAGATCATAATCAATTAATCATTCAGTCGGGCGCACTAGTATTAATTGATACTTATCAGCTTTTTCTAATTTCCACCAGACGATCGCCTTTCATCTCCAGGTGCTGCAGAGCCGTTAAAGCGAAAACCACGTAGCGGTGTTGGTGGTGATGTATGCTGAATGGAATTTGATGATGACGATGACTGTTGTGAATTATTATTTTGTTGCATTGTATGATCGTGCTGCATATTGGCTAATTGATTCATGTTCTGTATTGCCATCATTATTCTACGTCGTGCGCCCAATGCTTTTATGCCAAGATTAATTAAATCTTGTTCATTTAATGTTGGAAATACACTCATATCGATTTCAGCGTTAACAAAATGTTGTATGTGATGTCCCAAGCCCAAACCAGTCAACAATGTCGCGATGTCACTGTAATTTGATAGTTGTGAACGATTTCGCATTGGCGTTGAGTCCAGCAGTGATGTTGTCATGTTAAACAATCCAGGAACTATTCCATCTTGTTGCGCAGCTTCTGACCATGAATTGTGTTCGAGTTGTGATGGCGATGTTCTTGATATTCCCATGCCTTGCCCTTATGTAGAAGAAATAAAAGAAAAAATTTGTTGATTATTTCAATCTTATTTGTTTTTATTCTTTATTAAATTCACTTTATAAACAAATTTCTTCAATTAGTTCAACTTATTTTAGAAATTCAAACTATAGCGTATTTTAGAAATTTAAATTTTACCAATTTTCAAAACCATAAAATTCAAATCAAAACTAACCGTTATAATAATAATAGCAATAAGTAGGAGGATAAATCAGGAAGTACTTACAGGCTGCCGTTGGTGTGCGAGCTTCACCTTGTTGTGGTGTTAAGCTCATCGCACGTAATCCAGCAATTATGCGAGGATCAAGCGAGTAAGTAAGCGAATCATTGAGATTTTGCTGATGCATTGGCGATTCCATATAATTTCCCATCGAAGGACCATATTTAGATCCATAATTTATGGAATTTTCAGGCGACGTGTTACGACTACTTCCATTAACAGATGATCCATTCTTTAGAATAGAGTTTTCGGAATTAAACGTTGAATATCCACTCGTATGCAAATCACTAACATTAGCAATATTGATTGAAGGAATTTGCATGCTCGATGTGATTTGATTATGCTGTTGTAACATTGTTGCTGTTAATGGCGAGGCTGGCTGTTGAACAACACGTGAGCGCCAATTCATTTCAGGTGTTATAACATTACTCCATGGAAGTTGAGGAATCTGGATTGGTGACATAGCCGAATAAGTCATTGACGATGCAACTAATTGTGCTACTGAGCTATCCTTGAAATTAGTCATATCATTTGGTCCGTAATAGGTATTCGGTATTTCAGCAATAATGCGATCCGATGTCAACTTGAGCAATTCATGACGAGCATCATAAATGTTTGTAATAAACTTTTCTATTCCTTTAATTACAATACACATAGTGCTTTGTCGTGCTTTCGGACGTGAGCTTATAAAAACATCATGTGAAGCCATTAATTCCTTGATTGTTTCGCTTTCAATGTTAATATCAGGATAATCAAAAATGACTGTCACGGGAATATTGCCCTAAACAAATTAAATTGAATTAATTATATACATTTTTTTTTCAAGCTTCCTCGATACTTACGAGTAATTGTTGTCGTGCCATATAAACTCCGTTAATTGGTCCACTGATGGTGACTTGTGAGCGTTTTATTGGTTTGACATTTGCGTCATTCGAGTCTTGGAAAATAATTATCGTATTCGTTCGTTGCATTATCTCTCTCAAGTTCTGTGCATTCTTCCCAAGCACAATTGGATGATGTGATGTTGTTATCTCCAAGTGCATGATCACGTGACGATGTGGCTGAACAAATTGAAAAACCGTTAAATTTTTGAATTCAAATTTCACAAACCCGTTAAGAGTTACTTACAGCTTGATCCTCAAACATGTACTCAATTATTCTTCTGGTCGCGTCTATGACATTCTTGTGTTCCTTTTCACAGCCTTTAACAAGCACCATCGAAGAATGAAGCTTTGGTCGAGCACTAAAAATAACTTGTACTCCATACTGCTTCTCCATCTCCTTTATGAAAGGTGTATTATTGTCATAAGTTGGTGCGCCAGGAAACATAATTGGTAATTCAAAAGACAGTAATAGTGGTGTAGATTCCCTTACTAATGACCTTGCCTTTTCAACGCCTTCCAATGACCCACATAACGACACTTGATTGGACTTTTCCGTTGGATTTGATCGATTAGAATCGGGGAAATGAATGTGAGTTTGTGTTTCATCCATTATACGCTTTATATTGTTTCCACCTCGGCCAATTATGTAGCTATGGTCTGTATATGATACATCCATTTTCATTATTACTCGATTTCCCTGTAATTATACAAGTTTATTGTTGTAGTAATTAATTTAGAATGTAATAGGAACAAAGTGGCTGATTGGATAGGGAAATGACTGATATATCATATTCCTAGTCTTATTTAAGGTCGGATTAAAATTAATCTATGGATTAAACATCGGATTAACTTAAATCCAAGTATTAAGAGCAAGTTTTAATGAAATTTCAACCAAGCCGCATGTCAATCACCACTAAAGGAAGTACAACTTACTTTAGCATCTAGAACTGCCATAACTTTGTCTTTAACACGTAAAACGTCTTCCTTCTTGCCAATTATTCTCACATGTGGATCTGAAAGATAAATAAGTGCAATTAGTCACTATAATTAACATCCAGAGCAGCTCAACGCTTACCTTTTCTGGTTTTTGCCCCAATTTTAAGGCGACATGGCCATGATACATGGACTAATGATTCCTTCATAAGCTGTAAAATCAGGTAAAGTTAATTAAAATGCAATTTTTTTGGACAACAGCATGCAACTCACGTTAGCAAAAAACCATTCTGCTTTGTTCATTGTTTCACAATATCCTTCAACTGTGAATTAAAGTATAATTAATAATAACATGTATACATGAAAAGCACATTCATAATTAATGACTCACGCTTTATCATCTCCTCCAATTTCGTACGATCAATCTTGAATCGTTCTGTGTAAATTTCTTCTGGATCTGTAATTCCTAATCCAGCTGCAATAGTTCTTAAATCACTAAAACTATCGACAGATGAAATTTCACTGCTTGGTGCCTCACTCGGTGGTCCAGATGATGTTCCAGCAATGGATGCAAAGCGTGATGAGAGGATATTAAATGGAACTGATTGTTGTGGAGTTGTCATTGTCAATTTTTTGGTAATCTGGAAGATAATTAATGAAAATTTTGGATGAAACTGATGCTTTGAGCATGAGATATTTATAGAACTTACTAGAAAATAAATCAATGAAGTAGATTAGTTAAGTTATTTAAAAAGTTTCTCAATAAATCGTGGTCAAATTGATAAATTTAATTAAATTGTTAAAATGCGGTTTTAATGTGTTTAAAAGGGCGCAAAACTATGAATTATAAAATTTTCAAAGGGTGTCAAAGGATGTTTGGCAAAAATTTTAAAATCGTCGAGTTTTTTTTTTGAGTATTTAACGTATTTAAAGTGAAAATTAAAGGAAATGTTAAGTTTAAGTGAGAAAACACAATCAATCAGTGTAATAATCCTATAAGTATTCATAATGTGCTGTTTTCAACGTAAATTCATGCGGATTAGATGACAAAATCCACGTAATGTATATATTTCTATGAAAAATGAATGTTTTTATGTGTAAATAAGAATGAGGCTTTTTAATAAACTTTTTGTCACCAATTGAAATTCCTTTCGCGTATAATAAACTTTATCAGTTACCACGGAAAAGTTACAGTAAAGGAAAAATTTTAATAAACGTGATGTGTCCAATTGCGATGAGAATGATAAAGTATTTAACTTTGCTTTCCATGCCATACCGCAGAGCAATAAAAGAAATGATGAAAAAAAATATCTCATAATAGCATTAAATGAATGATACACAATATTTTTATAGGCATTATAAGGATTCAGGCTCTTTTTCTGTCAATTTTCTTTATAAATTGAATAAATTTTCGCATGGAGCGACTCAAATGACATTTGATAAGGCTTTCTTGAGGGCGCCAAGCACACAAAAAGTAGCAATAGCAAGTCAATTGAGATGAAAAGGTGGGCAAAGAAGAACTTTCAGCATATTTGACATGCTGATATTTTCATTTTTCCTTTCTGTTCCTCATTCTTTCAATTCTCAAATCTAATGAAAGCTCATAATAATTTTTTTATGCTCTTATTATGGCAGAAATGGCGGCATGATTCTTATATTATTAGTGCTATTATTACCCAAAGCTATTGACCAAACAAAAATAGAAATTGTGAAATAATAAAAAGTTGATAAGATTTCTGTGACTACGTGGTCTGCTGGATGTCCAATAAAGAAAGTTGCTATATATAGGAAAGTGCATGTGAAATACTAGCTGGATGTTGTTTTGTGGTGAGTAGGACTTTATTAATATTTAAATTGGCATTATAGCTCATCTATTAATCCTGATGAGAATTGATTTATCTCCATTCGTCGATTGTGGATCATAAGTTAAGACTATAGTCTGCTTCATTACTACACAATTGTTGAAATGATGAAAATTTGCTATAAAATTCAGGGGTAATTTATGTTGAACGAGAGGGAGTCTAAAAATCCCCCGAATCAAAACTAAGCGCCTTATTGTCATCAATATCTGTCATTTTAGCCTTCAGCTACTTCTTGGACCAAACTTTAAGTCCCTTAGCCCAATAGTTTAATGTCGTTCATTTGTGATGTCCAAATTTCTAAGTGCAAAGTTAACTTTTTGGAGGGAGAATAGCTTTTTTGAGAGGCATAAAAGATCGAAAAGTTAAAACATTCATGCACGAAGTTTAAAAATACACTAATTGGGTTGATGTCCTTTAATTTTTGGAACATTTAAGATTCTCAATGCAAATTTCATGCTCGTGATGCAGTTTGCTTAATATTAAAGACAAACAGCAGCTTAATCATTACAAAGAATATCCAGCAAAACTCTTAGTATTCATGGGAAGCAAAGCCTTAGTTCTCTAAAAAAAATAAGCATCTATCAGATGAAATACTCTTAAATGTTTAAAACTCTTGCCTTTCAAGCCACGAAACTCTTTCAATGTTCTTAAATCCTTGACATCATTAACAGTACAAACTATATTCAATCCACTATAATTAAGAGCATTGCAGTCTGTAAATTAAGCGTCACACATGAAGAGCATGTTGTCAACATGTGACACTAAGTCAAAGAAAATTGGCGGGTAACTTTTGGAGGGAAACTGTCACTCATGGACATGACACAGAAGCGTCTGGAAATGTCATTAATTAATCTACTAAATCACGTCATTAAAGCTGCTTCGCTTGATCCATAAATGTCAATTTGATGCAGCACGCTTCGAAAGCATTTTATGGAAATTTGATACAAATGACATTAATGCTCACCCTTAATATGCTCGCTATTTCCTATTTCCTTAGAAAAAATTAAATTTAATCCGATGAAGCGTGTTTGTTGTTCCTTCTTTTGTTTAATGCCAAGTCAGGCGCGAAATAATTTCCTCGCTTTGTAAATCTTTTATTAAATACAATTAACACTTAATTATCGTTGGTTTGGTAAAATCAGTATAAACACACGCGAATTTATTTTAATTTTTAATGCTGTTTTAATGGAAAATCAATTTCCAAAACTTTGTTCTTACTTTTAAAGTAAATCCACGGGATTAATTCGCGATAATTTAATTGTTTGACGTCCGATCGAATGAAGAGTTGAATCTTAAATGAGTGGCTGGGCTGAGTAGCTGCTGATCTTTAGGAGGGGATGTTTGAGCCATTTTATAGCAAGTTTTATAGGAAACTGATTGAAATTAAAGAAGATCGTTAAGTTGTCGCATTGGATGTTGAGTGTTTACTGGATCTTGAAACTTTACTGGATCTTGAAACGTTACTGGATCATTTTCTTTAAATGTTGTAATGTGTTGATTTTTTGCCTTTGTGGGATTTTGAGATAATGTTTTTGAGCTTAATGATGTGTGACTGTATCAGATGTGCTTAAAATTCAAGATTCTGATGGACGTCATGTAAAACATTCTAAAATTCTACTACGTTTTGATTAAAAATTCAAAAAATTAATAACTGTTAAATTTTGATCTTAATCTACGGTTCCTTTTCATCTTTTAATATCTTCTAAGCCAAATCATAATAACACAACATTAACTAGACATTAGAACATCATTAATCGGTTCTTTAACTCAAATGAATATAATAAAAAATAATTCATATTATCAGCACTTAATGATTTGCTCATAGCTGTTCCAAAAGAGCAACATATAATCAAACTTTTTAATCGCGAACTTAATTTTAATACAGCACACGTGAGAATATTAATTTCATGAATCATATGGGAGCGCTTAAAAGTTTACACACATAATAATTAAAACATTAAACACTTCTCATTAATTTTGATTCTCTAACATAAATCTGAATATGCTAATTTAATGAACTTTACTTTTACTGGATGTTAACTTTTAAAGTTTATGCATTAATTGCTATGCAAATATACAGCACATTCAACTTATAAACACAAAATTAATGATATTCTATCAGTGCATAAATTTGCAGCATCATTTGAGTACTTTTTCATGACTTTAATTCTATGTTTTTTTCATGAGTCATTTTCACATATCAGCAACATAAATCCATACTCATACATAATGTTTAAATCTGTGACAATGGCTTATATATGGTTAATTTACTTTTCATCGTTGTAATCTGGATGATTTTTCGGAAATCAATCATGAGAAAGTTTTAATGTTGCAGGATTATGGAGGGATTTCAATGCAGCATAAGTTGATGTTTAAGGAGATTATATCATGAGGCTATCGGATTTAAAATCAATTTTTTTTTAAATATTTATTTTTTGTAGACTCAATTGATGTACATTGAGGATATTCAATGCTATTTAAACATTCTCTAATTACTAAATTAATTAATCTGATGCTTACCGAGATTCACTGTAAGTTGATATGCTAGGCATTTGCTTTGTTTGCTTAATTATTAGCTGATGTAATTTTATTCATTATTTATAAGCAGAATCACTTAAATTATGATTTGTTTACCAGCATAAATCAATCCAAAATCACCGAAATTTATTTCTTCTGTTTTAAGACACATCATCAGCTATTTTGGATTGATTTTTTTATTCATTCCTGAATTGTTAATCAACTTTGTTCCTTAATAAAATTAAATCGTCTAAAAAAATTTGAATTTTACAAAACCGTTAGGAAACTCTACAAGTTACACTTGAAGTTGACTCCATTTTAACAAATTTGAAACGTTCGTTTAATTCAGTTTTAATAAATTCAAATGCTATAAAATGTCAGTTTCGGGTGTCCATCAAAAATTAAAAATTTTAGATTCTATATTCACAAAATGTCAATTGCCTCGTAAATAATATTTTAAGTTTTTGTCATCAATCACAATAAATCTCCCAAAAAGTGTGCATGCATACTTAGACATTCTTCTCATTACCCCAAAAAACAAAAAAAAATCAAGCTTACATACCAGATGATTAATGATAGACTTTTAAGTAAACATTAAAAGGGTTTCATTTTCACGATGAGAAAATAAATTCGGCCATACAACAAATTAGTGGAGGAAAAATCACTGTAAAAAATTACCGTTTTGCGTGCCGCATTTAAACGGTTCGCTCTGAAAATAAATTTTTGGGAAAAACAATCAGAAAAATTGTGTTGAAATGTCCATAAAAATCGTATAATTATGTCGCACTTGATATTTTCATAAGGCGGTAATGAAAGGGAAAAGAGGACTAAAATTTATATCCAATTATAAGTATGAGGGAGGTCGATAAGATCAAATGGTGCCATACACTCGATAATTCGTAGAAATCTGATGCTCTTAATGACATCATTTCTCCCGCTACAAACTGTTACGACTTCAATTATTATTCATCATCAAAGAACCTTCAATGCAAAATAATCCTCAAAGAGATCATCAAAGTTAACATCCTGTAATGATTGAAGTCAACACACCACTCTGCTGTATTGACCTTTCTCATGATTTCTCAACTCAAAAAATATTGTTTACCTACATTATGTATGCCATATTCAAAACGAGCATGAAATAAGAAAGAAAGAAAAATCTTTTTTCTGATTACTCATCATAAACAATATCAAGCTTCGTTAAGCAATAAGAAAGTTTACGTACAATCAGAGAACGAGAGGAATAAAGAAATCTTACAACAGAAGAAAAGCATCAAGTTAGTAAAAACGGAATGAAGAAGTTTTTGTTTTTGTTTGGAATATTTTTTCCTCCTCTTCATCTTGTCTTATTTGCAGATGAATTTTCTCGCTTTTGAGCTTGTTTTGAGAGAAACTTGATCATGCAACTCATTTTGAGCTGTTTTGGTGTTGAAGATCTAGAAATGTTGGCATCTCGAAGATCCAGGAATGAAGGCAGTTTAAAGATCCAGGAATGTA